AAGAACCCCCTTCCCCTCCCCCATTTCTGAAGAAGGGTCTAGGCCCGAAACGTCAGCCTTCCTGCTCCTCGGCCTGCTGTGTTCATCCAGCTCTACACCTGGTTATCTCAGATTCTCCAGCATCTGCAGTTCCTACTATCTCTGAAAGGCTTTTGTTCTGGTTCCTTTTTAAGAGCGACTACACTGGCTCACCTAACTTCCAGCACAGAGAGAAAATATTTTTATCTACAGTGCAGGAGGGTCTAAAGGCTGTCCTCAAGCTATGACCTTCATAACACACACTAGTGCTCACTAGAACATCAGCCCACTAACATGTTGATGCTAGGGCTGCAGAATATTTTAATCCTTGTTCTTTTACCGAAGATGGTAGAACACAAACATGCTCTCGTTCAGTAGTACAGAACTTGATTAGTGCAAAAAAAAACATTTTTTCAGAGCCTTTCATCTTGCAGTTGTCAAGACAATTCATAAGGATACCAATACAAGGGGAAAACCAATATCTTAATTGCATGAGAGGAAAGCTACATGCCTATCTATATTTCATCTGCCATGTTTCTTGCCCATTCACTAAAACAGTCTAAATCCTCTTAATCTCATTTACATCTTCCACACAACACACATTCATTCCCTATTAGCTTTGTATAATTGGCATATTTGAAAATCCTTCATTTGGTCCCACCTCCATATCATTGACATATAGTATACCAGTGGGGCTACAAATACAGATTCTTGTGATACCGCACTTGACACAACCTGCCATTAGAAAGACCCATTTATTACTACTTTTTAATGCCTGTTAGCCAATCGTTGATCCTTGCCAGTACAGTACCTCCTAATCTAATTAGCCTCCTGTGGGGAGACTTCACCAAAAGTCTTCTGAAAGTTTAAGTATACTACATTCATTGCTCTCTTTTGTCAGTTTTATTAATAACATCTTTAAAAAAACTCCAAAGTTCGTCAAACATGATTTCCCATTTACAAACCTATGCTCACTATCCCAATCAGATCATGATCAATCAGGTGTCTAATTTATCCCATCCTTTAGAATAGATTGTAGCATTTTCCCTAATACTGTTGGAAGGATGACAGGCCTGCGTTTCCCCATTTTCTCCCCTGCTACCATTTTAAATAGTGGGGTGACATTTGCCATCTTCCAATCCACAAGAATCATTAAGAAACAAATAGAATAATACCAGAGGTAATGATTTATTCACATGGTTCTTCTTTGTAATCACAATTATTTTTCAGTCTACGCTTTTAATCTTAGTATTCTTTCCATAGACATCTGAACAGTATATGTACTTAATGCATGCCTCTTCCATAACCTTCAATTGCTGCCTTTATATCTTTAATGAGCCATGGAGACCATCCATTCCCCGATTACTGGCTCCATCCCTGTCATTGGCAGCAGTCTAAGACTAACCCAGTCTCTTTGCAGCTGGTTATATTTGATCCTGAATTTCCAATTTCATATTTGTGCCTATTTCTAAGATCTCCTCCTTCTACCTCTGTAGCATCACTTGACTTGGCCTCTAACTCAATTCATCTGCTGCTGGAATCCTCATTCATGCCTTGGTTATTTCTAGACTCAACTATTCGAATGCACTTTTGCTGGTTTCCAATATTCTAACCTCCATAAACTGGAGGTCATCTAAAATTTTCTGCCTGCATCTCGACTCTCAGGCTAAATCACATTCCTCCTTCACTTCTGTGCTCACAGACCCACTTTAGCTTCAGGTTAAGCAATACCTTGATGTTTAAATGCTCATCCTATTTTTCATATTTTGCCATGGTTTTGCCCCTCTCTTACCTCAGCAATCTTCTCCATCCTAAAATTCTGAGATATTTGCTCTCCTTGAAGTCTGGCTTGTTTGTGCATTTAGTCATAATTACTTCAGTGCCGATGGTTTGACGGATGAGGGACTTCAGTTATGTGGGCTGACCAACATTAGAGCAGGGAAGGTCAAGATGAGATTTGATAGACACACTTGAAAACACGTATGGGTAAGATAACGGGAAATTGCTGTAATAGTTAAAAGAATGATAACCAGACAGATTTAAAGGTAATTCATAAAAGAATCAGAGTTAACTTAAGAAGAACCCTTTTTACACAATGAGTGATTAGGATTTGGTTAAGAATTTCCCAAATAAATTGAATAATAGCTTTCAGAAGTGGATTGGCTAAATACTTGAAAGAAAACAATTTAATGGATATGGGGGCAGGAGCAGTCAGTGAAAGTGATTGTTTTTTTTAAAAACAAAAAGAGCTCGTGTAGTCCCAAAGATTTGAAGAATCGCCTTTTGAACTGTACTAATCTATGATACTATTTCAGCATTCGAGCGATTCTTCTTCCATATAATCGATCTCTCGGTCAGTAATAAATTTATTACAATATCTGAAGAACAGTCAAAAGTATCATGTCTTTGGCGATACAAAAGGAGATGTTAAACTTAAAAGGGCAGCACATTTAGAATCTTCTGGAAGAAAGTGAGGGGTGAAATAGTTGACATTATCACATTAGACAGGAAGTTCCCAGTTATTTCTACAATCGGAGGAAGGGATAAAAATAAACCAACTATTTGATTGGCATCCTCCAGTTTACTTAAACCACAACACCTAAAAGGCAAAACACACGAAGGTAAGAAAGCATATCAGTTGCAATACACAGATTTACTTATGGGTACAGCAAATAATGCATTGAAAGGAATACTGGAAAATCTCATGCACCATAAGAGCGAAGCAAAGAAAACTGGAACCCTTCAACAGTGACTTAAGAAAACTAAAGTATCAAATCAGAGTATTATCAAATATCATTTATTTTTAACAAAAACCAAATCTTACAAAATTTCCATTTATTTTCTAGTCTTTAATCATTTATATCTATAAAAATGAACCAATGTAATACTACTAATTACAGAAGCAGAAACTTAAGGTATTGTGGGGTGCACAGGATAATGGAATACTTTGTGTGTGGAACAAATTCATTATAAATAGTCAAAAATTAATAACCATAAAGAAACATGCAGCACCAGAATATGTACCCTTGGGGCTGAAATCTGCCCCAGGAATGTCAGTAACCATCTAATAATTATTCCAGTGCTCGTGAAGCAAAGGGGTTATCTTGTGGAAGAGAAACTAAGGACATAACATTCTGAATCCCCCTAATATAACCATTTATACCTCTGGATAAGACTTAAAGACTGGTGTGAAGGTTTACATGGAAAGCTTCTTTGTCCAGTATTTGCAATGGAATTCTTAAGCAGGTTGTGTGTCACTGGAGTGGTTCCAGAGAGATACAGTTCCAGTTTTCTGCATAAATTTTGAAGACGGCCACATGCAAACCCAAATCTTTGACTGTAAGTCACAGAGTAAAATGACTTATGCAATTATTTACTTTAAAAACAAATAAAGTGTCTCCTTCCAATCCTTACAAACTTAAATTCTAAAACGTTTGTTTAAAGTTCAAACAAATTAGTCTATAACATTTAATATCATTCATGATACCTTTTAGTACTTTTTAAAAAATTTACTTGCCTGAATTTAATTGCACCAACTATTTAACTGGAGATTAATATTTTTATTCTACAAATAACCACCACCTATCATTCATGCAACTAATACTTCTAGCAACTCTTCTGAAAATTAAGAAAATGAATGAATTCAAAAGAGCTTGAAAAGTAGTTGACATGCAATAAAATCCAAGGGTGTAATGCCTAAAGCTGTTCTCCTATTCTTTAATTTATAGTAATCAATCCTAAATCTGGCTGGCATTCTGTCCTACTTCATTTGTAAATGTTACTGAATTAGTCCCAACCACAAAACAAAAATGGGCACTCCAAGTATATGAAATGGGTCAGCAAATGGCAGAGAGATGACGTGGGGAAGAAAACTGCAAATGTAATGGCTCTGGAGCGATAGCATGTAAACCCTCCTGCACCAGAATCAGCTAGCAATAATTGTGACATACAATCATATCAGTATACATTTGCAATGTACACAAAGAATGGTGGCTAGTAGGAAGTGTGCAAAAGCTCCCAAGCTGCAAAGAAAAACACAAAAAGCAGCAGAAAATGTAGTGAAACCATGAAAATCCATCTTTCAATATCTATGTTCAATAACACAGATAAACTGCAAATGCTTCTAAGAATACAATTAAATTAATGAAGACATCTGCATATCATATGGAAGTCTTTGGTGATACTATCTATACAAAGGTTACTTTTCATGGAGCTATAATGCTTTGAAAGCTAATGCAGTAAATCACAATATATGGCTTTGTATTCTCTCCACTCCTCTGTAGGTTTAATCCCACTAACTGTGTGTAGTCATGTTATTCCAACCAGTGTGGGGATTTTTTTTTAATATAAAGCAATGATACATTATGAAAAAACATTGGAAATGTTAGAAAACCTCAGAAATGTACATCTTATACAAAATAATTTTTGTTTTGCTTTACAGTTATCCATCTAATTATTCCCACATTGCTTTGTCAATCTGTTTGAAACCATACACTATACACAATTCTGTCAGAATAATAAATATACAAGATTATGTACATTATAACAAGGCCTATTTTTCACATCCTTAATTATGAAATGTCTAAACGTAGATTGGAGATTCAGCACACGAGATGAATTGGGATTTCTATTTAAAATAAATGAATTACAGATATAAAACTAGGCTGAACCATTATTAACCAAAATAAAGTGATTAAAAGGCCACACGCTCAGCACTCCTTCAAGTGTTCAGACATTCAAGTACCTGTGAGCAAAGGCTAACATAGCCCTGCCATTTAAAAAATAGAACTTTATATAGAAACAAGGAGCTACCCCTTGTATAAGCACCATATGTGCCATTCACTTTAAAATACACAAAGTCAATGTTTCAGATCCAAAGGTCAGCCAAGCGACCCTGTAAAAGCCATACAGGAAGTCATCTGTAAGGCATATTAACATGCAGGTATGTGCACACATTTTAACTAGCAGTTTCTATTTTACGTGGCAGATTCCCCCCAAATCCCCCCACCCTCCCCAACCCCCACTGATGAGGATGGAATTCCTGCATACATAGTAAAGGGCTTTCCTGTAGTGAGTATGGTTGTGTGTGTTTTTTTAAAGAAAAATTACTTGCATGCTAATAGTAAACATGGCAGACATTATTGGTGAAACCCAACCGCACGTTCATTAGTCATAACTGCCTTAGTGCCCATTCCTATACAAGTCTGATGATTACACATTCCAAAACATAGTTCATTTTTCTTAACTCATATTTAGCTTAAGTGGTATAAATAAGCTTTAAGATAAGTTCAGACCAAAATTTAAGACACTTGTTCATGATCAACTGAATAGTGTTTCACTTGGTTCTTCACAGTGCAGATGAAATAATTGTTAATTGATTTTCACACTTTCAATTCATGGACTTCGGATTAATATCCCTCCTGAAAGGGTATCAGACCTGTTACTCAGTGTTGATAAAATGACAATAAAACCCCTAATTGTCATATAGATCTTTTAGTCAATGAGCTGATAGCAGAAATCCCCTCGAGTCAGTCTGTCGGGTTCATCAAAGAGTAACTGCCAAGAGTCACCTTAGACAGCTTTATTTACTGAGCTCAGGAGGGATGTTCTTTAGGCTGGCTTCAATCAGAGTGCTGTCCAACAATCAATGAGTCATTAGAGCCGCTCAATGTCCCGATACTTCTTTCTCAGTATGGAGACCTGATCTTTGAAGAGAACTGGATCTAGTCTCATCTGGGAGTGGATCAAAGGCATGGATCCAAACCAAGTTGCAAACGTGTTCATGCAGGTTTGCCGTTGAGCAAAATGATCAGGGTCAGCCCATCGGGAAGCTCTGGAGGACTGAAATGTAAAGATTGATCATATATTTACTGGAGTTCAAAAAGGGTGTGAAACGGAGCTCTCACCAACCAACTGAATAAAAAACACACACAATATGCATAAAGCTTGACATATGAACAACAAAAAAAAGAAATAACAGACAGCCCATCAACACCGGAGGTGAAAAAATGACAGGTTAATCTTTTGGTAGAGACGCTTTGTGAATGCATTCTTATTTTTACTACTTGCATCACAACCATTTCTCTTCTCAGATATGGGTCCTGATCTGTAGCTCGGATTGTGGGTGAGTTTGTTGACTTGCTCGCCGAGCTGACTTGTTTTTATTCAAATGTTTCGTCACCATGCTAGGTGACATCATCAGTGGAGCCTCCGATGAAGCGATGTTGTTTTACTCCGCTTGGAATTTATACTGTACAGTCCGTTATGGTGAGTACTGTCATTTCCGATTTTGATCTGTATGGGTTTGCATATGGGGTCCAATTCTGCATGTTTGTTGATTGCATTACGTTTGGAGAACCATGCCTCTAGGAAGTCCCATGCGTGTCTATGTTTGGCTTGGGCTAGTATGGTTACTTTGTCCCAGTTAAACTGAGGGCCTTCATTGTCCGAGTGTACTGATATTAAGGGAAGTTCGTCGTGCTGTTTTGCTGTAGCTGATGTTCATGTATTCTGATGGCTAGTTTCCTTCCTGTCTGTCCGCTGTAATGTTTGTGGCAGTCGTTGCATGGTTTTTGTAAACGACATTGACTCTGTACATTGTGGGAATGGGGTCTTCAATCCTTGTGAGTGTTTGTGGACTTGTGTACTACCATGATTCCTAGTGCTCCGAGGAGTCTTGTTGTCAGTTCTGATATGTTCTTGATGTAGGGCAATGTGGCCAGTGTGGTAGGACGTACACATGTAGGGCCACACTGCCTTACATCAAGAACATATCAGAACTGACAACAAGATTCCTAAGACCACTAGGAATCAGGTTGGCACACAAGCCCACAGCCACCCTACGACAAACACTCAAGGATTGAAGACCCCATTCCTACAACACGCAGAACCGACGTGGTTTACAAAATACCATACAATGACTGCCACAAACATTACAACGAACAGACAGGAAGGAAGGAAACTAGCCATCAGAATACATGATCATCAGCTACAGCAAGAACGGCACAATGAACTTTCCTTAATATCAGTACACTCGGACAATGAAAGCCATCAGTTTAACTGGGACAATGTAACCATACTAGCCCAAGCCAAACACAGACACGCATGGGAATTCCTACAGGCATGGTTCTCAACCTGTAATGCAATCAACAAACATGTAGAATTGGACCCCATATACCAACCCATACAGAATAAAACCGGAAATGACAGTACTCACCATAACACACCAGATAGTATAAGTTCCAAGCGGATAGAACAACATTGCTTCATCGCCCTCACTGATGATGTCACCTAGCATGGTGATGAAACATCTGCACGAAAACAAGCCAGCATGGCAAGGAAATCAACAACCTCATGCTATTCACCTTTATGTTTGTTTCTGATTTCAAGCTGGGTTGGGGACCAAATTTGCCTAGTTCCATTCTTAACCATCTAGATAAAGCCAGAAAATGGCTCCTCTTCCTGATTCTACATATTTGAAGTACTTCCAAAGCTCTAGCAAGGTGTGTCTATTTCTCAACTATACATGGTGCATTTGGCATCACCCAAAGACACTACAAGATCCATATGTATGCTGGAAACACCCAGTCTCCCAGACCACGAACATTTGTCCACTGTTCCACTCACTATGATTTGCAATGATGCCTAGCCAACATTCAATCCCAGAAGACTGCTAATTTACTCCAATCAATCATGGCTTCATTTCCCCGCTACAAACTTGGTCCCCTAGACAGAGGTTCCATCACTTTCCCTTGTGACTGCCCAAGTATGAACCAGACCACCTATAATACCTACACCTCTGTTATCATTGCCTGGATCTTGTGTCAGCTCACCTGCTCATGCCTGCATTATTTACAGACTTGGCCATACAAAGTCTCATTCAACTATTACCAATGTCCTTACCAACTTGTAATGTCACTCAAGTTGGCAGTGCATTAATTTTAAAATGATCATGGTTTTCAAATCTCCCCATAGTTTTCTCCTATCTCTGCATTAACCCTCTAAACCTAGAATGCACAAATCTTTGCCTATATATAATGTGTCCTCTTGAACATCTGCAATTTTAATCCTTTGACCATTAGCAACCTTCCTCCTCTGTCGAGAATGTAAGCCGTGGGATTTCCTAAGTCTTTCACAGTGTCCCTTCTCTTTTAAAACGTTCCTTAAAATCTCACTTTCTCATTGCACCTTGTGGTTCACTGTCAAATGTTTTTAATATTTTCTGTGAAAAGCCTTCAGAAATTTTAGTTTATTTGTGAATATGAACTGTTATATATTTACCATAATTTCTCTCTCTTTCACAAAGGTACAGCTTTAATAATGGACAACTTTAATCTGCATAAAGATTGGGCAAATCAAATTAGTGACGATAATGTAGAGGAGGAATTCCTGGAATGTGTAGAGAATGGTTTGCAGAATCAATGTGTAATGGAACCAACAAGAGAACAGGCCACCCTAGATGGGTTATTGCATAATGAGAAAGGAAATAATTGGTGATCCAGAATTCTACTCCAGAATGAGAACAAAAGTCATAGCTAACATTTCAGTGTTGTATTGACAAATCGCTGCACTGTTAGAGAAACTGCTTTTTAAAGACATACCAAGCAGAGGCACAATCTACCTGCTTAGCAAAATGTAAAAGATTCATTAGCATGATTTCAAAGAGCAGGGGAATTATTCCCAGTGTCTTGACCAATAACAATCTGTCAATCATCATACAAAACAACTTGCGTATTTTGGCTGTATTTTTCTTACAACAGTGACTGCACTTCAGAAACACTTCATTAGCTGTGAAATGTTTAAAGATATCTGGTGGTCATGAAAAGCCTTATATAACTGCAAGTCTTTCTTTCAATCCCTAAACCTTGGTATCATAGGTTCAACAAATCCATTTCAAAGACCGTAAAATTCATAATGTCTGGGCTTTTTCACTTTCCACCCAATTAAGTTACCTGTTGCATCATTGTCTCTTTATACTGTTTTTTCTGAGTGACTTTAACAGGAGGCAGCTTGGTGACAGCTGAAACCAAGAAGTTCATTAATATGTCTTCACAGTTGGCCAGTTGATCCACCATGTTTTTTAGACTGGAAGGCAGATAATGAGTATACAGGTAATGGTAGTACCTACAATAATAAAAGCATATAGCAGTGAATTAACCTTGCGTATCTAAAATCCATACAATTCTTTTAATTAAATACTCTTGATAATCTGATTGAATGCAAGTTAACTGGTAGACAGGGAAAACTCCCTGTTTCCTCAAGTCAAACTGCTTCCTCAACAGCATTGCAGGAGGTTCAACTGAAGGAAATTACTCCATCACAATTTTACCAACACCGAGTTACATGGTTAAGAACTTACAAGAAGAAAAATCAATTAACAGAAAAACTAATCATTGGGAGGCAATATCAGAATGAGGGGTGAATAGTGAAGAATATTTGAAAACATAATTGCTCATAAATTTTCAGAAAGAGAATGTTTTTACAATTGAACAGAAAAATGAAATTCGTGTCATAGAATTAATCAGTAATTCATCATTAAGTGATTGATTTAGTTAACAGAATTGCTGTGCAAATCAATTTCAAAACTCTTCACTATCTCTACATTTTCTTCTAGGAACACAACATAAAAAAAAAATTTGTATCCTACAGCTCACAATTCCCTTCATGTTTTAATTTGGAGTTCTCATCAATACGTGGCTGAAAGTGATGCAGGAATGTCACTTGATTTGAAGTGTTGTTGTAATGCAAATTCAAAGTCATTTACACTGGTATAACAAGGTGTAGAGCTGGATGAACACAGCAGGCCAAGCAGCATCAGAGGAGCAGGAAGGCTGACGTTTT